TGAATTTGGGTGAGCAAGATATCATTGGGGGAGTCACAGACAATTATTGTGGTCTATTATGATGCTAGAGAAAGTATCTACTATGTTTTCGGCACTGTACATGTTGCCGGGGCAATCTGGTGCTGGGTCAAACACCAGATAGGCCACATCAATAGTGCCATCAATGTTCAGTGAATTTGGGTGAGCAAGATATCATTGGGGGAGTCACAGACAATTATTGTGGTTTACTATGATGCTATAGAAGGTATCTACAATGTTTTCAGCACTGTACATGTGGCCGGGGCAATCTGGTGCTGGGTCAAACACCAGATAAGCCACATCAATCGTGCCATCAATGTTTGGTGAGTTTTCTTAGCATAATCCTAGTTAGGTCCAATCCTTTCCTACAAATTTGGCACCATTGTATCCGGAACTTACAAATTTAATGGTTTGGTTGATCCATTCCCAAATTTGGGTTCCTACTTACCCAAAACCGTATTGGGGCCGCCCAAGTTCCTACTTCATCAAAAGGCTTATGAAATCCTCTGCTGAAATTTTTCAGACAACAACGTCGGAAAATGTCTCCAGTGACATTTGTTTTGACACAATTGGAGTTCCTACTTGCCCAAAACCAGTCACCCCAAGTATCCCACTTTGTGAAATGCACTTCTGAGTTCCTTAATAGGACCGGAGAAATAGATGCCTGAGGTGTGGAAAACCAATCAGATGTTGTCCCACCTTAACGTGTGAACTGAGTACCAAGCACCGTTCCATGTTTCCTCTAGACCAAAAATAGGACTGGAGAAATAGATGCCGGAGGTGTGGAAAACCAATCGGATGTTATCTGGTACTTAAATTGTGGTGCCTTACAGCAATTGGCAGTACCTAAGGCGCAGATTGAAAAAGTTCTGTTTTGGGATGATTTGGAAGAATTGCCGATATCTCAGCGAGTTCTGCACCGATTGACATGAAACTTGGATAGAAATACTCAGCTAATTCATACCGAATTAGTGATAGAAAGAAATTCACAAAAATGATGCATATTCAGCAACATTGGTTTAATGGGCCATTTTGTGGATGAATGCAGTTTATGAGCATCTAGACACATCCAAATGATGTTGACCTCTGTCAGGTAAGGCTCTGATATATTCTGCAAGTTGTAATAGATTCAGATTTACAAAGACCTCAGCAATGGATTCAAATTTCACAATATTTCCTGATTGCAGTGTATTGCTCATTGTCCTGATGTGTTATAGATTGAACTTTTGAGGATTAGGACTCTATTACAAGTTTCAGAATGTATCAAAGCTTTACCTGACAAAAATTCACATCATTTGGATGTGTCTAGATGCTTGTAAACTGCATTCATCCACAAAATGGCCCATTAACCCAATGTTGCTGAATATACATAATTTTTGCAAATTTCTTTCTATCACAAATTCGGCATGGATTAGCTAAGTATTTCTATCTAGGTTTCATGTCAATCAGTGCAGAACTCGTTGAGATATCGGCAATTCTTCCAAAACATCCCCAAACAGAAAATTTTCAATCTGTGCCTTAGGTACTGCCAATTGCTGTAATGTAAGACATCAAGGACCCAATCACCGGAGGTTGATCTTGGCTCAACACCAAGCAAGATCAGCTGTTTCACGGTAGATTGCGGTGCCTTAACGTAAGACATCAAGGACCCGATCACCAGAGGTTGATCTTGGCACAACACCAAGCAAGATCAGCCGTTCCACACGTATCCAAGCAGATCCAAGCCATCAAAGATTCGATCACCACCGGTTGATCTTGGCAAGTGGGCAATACTAAGATTGTCTGTTCTTTTTGGACAGACCTCCCTCCTCGAAATTATGGCCTGCAAAAAGGGTGTCCTCACTGCCTCAAGGGCAACTGGGTGCACCGGCTCCTTGGGTCACTTTGGGTGGTGACTCAACTAGTACTGCCGCTCCTGCTCCTGCTGCAGTTTACCCACATCCACTGTGCCTTCAGTACTGTTTTCAAAACCGATTCGGATTAAGACAAAGACAGGAGAAATTGTTGGGAGGGGTAAATTGACCCCTACAATGGATGATGGGGGGGATGGGGTGTGTTTTCTACTCCTTGAGTGTCTGGATTGAATGTTAATTAACTTTTAGTACTGCCGAGTCTGCAGGGATGAGGGGAAAATTATTCTTTACAGTGTTACACAAGGGTGTCTGCACGGTGTTTGCCTTCCGTGCTTGGAAAATCCAACCCCCGATCTCCTTGCCCTTCCCTTTTGCTGCCCAGACTGTCATTCTGATTGCGAGCGGACTCGGCGCAACACCAGGAAGAAGTTATACAAACCCAAACCATACGAGGTGAGTTTATTCAAATTTGTTTGATGCAGATTTCCAACAGTGCTGCAGGGTTTCCTTGATCACCCTGATGGCAAAAAAAATTGCTTTACTAATGGCACTGCCGTTCATTCTCTTACTGCTTGGGCCTCGTCCGAGTCCATTCTACTCCTTGTCTTCTGTCTTGATGGGTTGCCCCTTGAGACTACTCCGATTTCAATGCTGGCATCGTTCATTGAATGCCTCTTTACCGGAAACTGTGTCTACCTTCCCATGTTTTTCAAGCTGGATGCGGCCGGGATTAAAGCTCTACAGTACACAACTAAAGCTTTGTCCAAGGAACTCACAGCGGGACAACTCCACTTGTGCGTCCTACACATCACGCATTATTTTTTTTGGGGGCTGACAGGACTGCAATGCAGTGTTCATCACATCCTTACAATTGTGGTCTCACATTCAACCCTGGAAGGTGATATTCACATCCTTCCCGGGAATACTGGAGCAGCTGTCCCAGCTTTACACTTCTGGCATAGACATTGCTGATGTGGTTGGTCTCATCAGTTTCCATTGCCTTGCTCTCCACAGCCACAACAACTATGTCCACAGGTGTATTGATGATGGCTACAGCGTGATTGCCTGCGTTGAACGCTGAGCCTCAAAAGGTTGTACTCACCTAATCAGGCAGTCTCAAGATACAGGCCGACCTTGGGGGGCAACTAGGGGCAACTAGGGGAGGGAAGTGGCAGAAACTCTATTGCTTCCCGAAAGTACAATGTACTACCCTTGTTCCTCGCTCCCATCTGCGCTGTTGGCACATACACGGTCGAGCATGAGGGGCTGGAGTACGTGGTATCGAGAGTGATTCAGAAAAACCCCAACAAGGAGAAAGAAGCAGGACGTACCTTTGAAGAGCTCACGTGCACAAGCGGTAGCTCCTTGAGTCTCTTACGGAGCTCTATCTCCCTTAATGTACCCTCCTACTCCTTCGGATCTCTCTTGTGCACTCTCTTGGACTTGTTCTTCATCATGGCCAGGCTGGATATCACACTCATCAGCACGATCATATGGACAGGAATAATAACGCACCTCAAGCACTCCGAGGTTGGTGACACTGCTCCGTACCGGTCATGGGAGTGAGAAGGGATAGGCACCCACCCTTGAAACGAGTTTTACCGGCACAGGCGCGTGGCAATGCACTGAATTTTTAATTCAGTTTTCTCAAACAAATACATGGATCTTCTTGGGCTTACCTGGAAGACTCACCCGGTCTACTTGATGTCACGGTTTCTCAACCTTGTCGACGGCTTGATTCAGAGTGTCTCGAGACACCCTTATACCAAGCTACGGATTTCTCAAATCAGTTTCTCTCAATCCTGTATCATTTCTCTCTTTCAGACTCACCTTCCGCCTTCTCAATTTTCATGGATTTTTACATCCCTTGGTGGATTGTGTTTGCGACACTTGCGCTGGACTGTCGCAGTTTGGTAGAGCAAGTAAGAAGACAAGAGGGAAGTCAAGATGCTGATCATTCTGATGGCATCGCAAATTTGATGCCCGATTGATGCCCGCTCCATCTTGCCAGCTTTCTTCCTCTGCTCAACTGCTTTGGTCTTTTTCCAAGGCCCCATCAACAAATTTGTCTGGAGTAGTCTTCAAGGCCCCACCAAGATGGAAGCCGGCACTGTCTTCGCCTTTCTAGGCAATACCACACAACTCGGACACCTCTCTGACGCAAATTGTAGCATAGGGACGTGGCAAAGACGGGGTGGATGGATTCCAGCAATGCAGAGGAGCACAGAGTGTCAACAAGGGCTCTAAATTGTGTGCAATAAACCCCTGCGAGGCGAGTCAATTAATTTCCTTCTGGGAATTTCTGTGTCTTCATCAATTGCTCAACTCAATATGCTCTGTTTTGGTCACTTGGAGCCTCTACCAGTCTCATGCACCACCTCTACACCACACTTTCTTCAATGTCCTTGCTCGCCATGTTAACATTCGGCTCGATGTTCCACTTGTCGGCTAGATGCTCGAGGTCCCCAGGCCACGCTCGTGCAGAAGGCCCCATCCGGGGTCAGACTCGGGGTTGTTTGTGATTGCCCTCACGAGGTGAGTCTACCGATTTTTTGTTGAATCATTCATGTTTTCAGCACCTTTTCTCTCTTTTTGTTTTTGTTTTCTCTTTTGGGACCCAAACTTCGCGTGGACCGTTCCATCTGGGCTCCTCCGAAGCAGCCACTCTCCTTTATTATCACTTATTTTCAACAATCTCAGAGCATTTTGACATTCTCAGATTAGTCTTAACCCCAGTACACAACAGGAATCCTTAGCATATTAGACTGCTGCAGATACAAGGCTATGTGTAGGGGCTCTAGGGTATAGCTTATAGCTTGCAAGTCCAGAGTAAACTGACCCAAGATCTGTTTGATTAGAAGCTGAGGTGCAAGAGTTGGGAAAGCTTAGTTGCTGTTCTTATCTCCAGCTATATATAGTACAAGATGTGAGGAATGATGGTAAAAAAAATGGTATGATATACAGATAAAGGAGAGTAGCAACTGAATCAAGGCATCTGGGTGTAGGGTATATGTAATCCTAACACTGTGACTTGGAGCCTAGACCAAAGTCTTAGTCTGGCTCGTCGGACTGTGTTTGATACATCACCCACATGCAACAGCGCTCACACTGTCCAAAAACAAAAGCAATTGATTGGAGTGGGATTCGAACCCACGCCCCGGAGGACTAGATAAGGAATCACCTGATTCTAGCGCCTTAGACCACTCGGCCATCCAACCACTCAATACTGGACAACTCAGATACCCCTGAGGAAATAATACCTCCCTGCGAGCCAATACCACCGGTGCCCACGCCGAGGAGCAATCGAGACCTCGAGCTTGGAACTTTCAGGTAATTTTTGACACCCACTATCCCGGTTCTGGCACGACACACGGATTTAAGCTTCTCCGGCGAATCTCCGCCCTGCTCTAGATTTGCCGAAATGGAAAGTGCCGTGATGACATCACTGTAAGTTCACGTTTCGCACTCTTGGACCCACACACCGACGAACTGCGACAAAAGAACCACAGGATAATGGCCTACCTCGCCCCCCAATGCCGGCCGGGCACCTCCGCCCCGGGGGACGGCTCGCGCACGATCACCATAGCGCCAACACCCGCGAACGAGGATGGATCAGCAGGACCAACAGAAGAGGGAGGCAGCAGAACGAACGACGGGGTGCCCGCGAGCGCCATCGTAGGCGCGCTGCACCTGCGCGGCGGAGTGCGAAGGAGCCGGGCAAGGGTCGCGTGGGACGAAGACGTGGTGGACAATGAAGGGTGCGGGCGGAAGTCGTCGAAGAGTGCGTGCTCCTTGCTTCCTCCTTCGTTTTTATTCATGAGTATAATGCTGATTGGGTTGGGATGAACAGTATGCTGCATCTACCACAAGCCCAAAGAGTTCGACGAGTCCTCCTCGGAGGACGATTCGTCCGATGAGGACTCGGACTCATCCCTGGACGACGGGCGGGCGCGACCGCGACCGAGGAGCGGGAGTAATCATAATCACAATCACCACCACCCGCACCCGCATCCCGATGGTGCCGCCGCCATCCAGAGAAACCCGCAGACGCAGGTCGCGCAATTAGAACTCGAGGCCGCAGAGCCGAACGCATACGAAATGGTGCCGTCAGGCAAGAAGGGCAAGCGGAAGCGGAAGTCGATTGGTACGTCCTGTCCCTCTACTCCAGTCCGAGTTCGCGTCTGACCATGAGCTTTGTGCAGGATGATACACTTTCCATCCTTGATATTTATTCGCATCTGTATGATATTCGACGAAATGCCGATTCTTGTTCCTGAATGTGCATGCCTCTCCTGATATCCGTCTGGTTGTCTGCTCGCACACCTTTCTCCTGAAGCCTCTAGTACAGTACAGTAAGCCGCAGACTCATAAAAAAGCCTCTCAGTCAGTCATGCAAAGACTTTCTTATTGACCAATTATATGGGTACGCTACTTAAGAGCCCAAGAAAACAATGGTAATACAGGTGGAAAGAGCGACAACAAAAAGCGAGAATGGATGAGTAGGTTGATTTTGTACAGTATTGGCAGCATGCATGCATTAGAGGAAACGGAACTGAAAGATAAATAATAACACTACCAGCCGCGCGCATGGTAATCCGACGTATTCGCCCAACTGAGATTCCGCACGAGCTTCTTCTTGGACCCACCCTCGGGCACGGGCGGGTCCATTGGTGGCAGCGCCTCGCGGCGCTCCGCCCCAGGTGCCCTTGGCGTCACCCGGACGAGACTCTTCTCGGGCTGGCGTCCGCCCTGCCCCGCGAGTGCGGCCGCGCTTGGAACATTCACCGTGCTCTTCGTCCGGCGCGGCTGGGGTCCAATCGTGTCCGTCCGACTCAGCTTGCGCTGCCACAAAAGATTGTGCCTCAAGCTTTCGCTCATCTCGTTGCGCAGCATCTGCTGGCGCGTCGTACGCGGCGTGGACGGTGGTGCAGGCACGGGGAGGTTGTAGGGGAATCCCACTGGCGCAGTCGACATCGATCGGTTTGGCGGCGGTTGTGCGACAGAATCCGGGACGACATTGTGTTGATTCGCCGCGGCCGCCCAGGGAACGACGCCCGCTTGCTCGTACAACCGGCGGCGCTCCGCCTCCGCCGCATCGACACCGTTGGTGGCGTTGGTACTCCCGGTCTTGCCGCGCGAGAGGAAAACGCGTAGCCTCTCCTGTGCGATGCTTTGCGATACCTGCCCGTCATCGCGGCCTTTGACCCGCCCATCCGCGTCCGATTCCTCGTCGTCGTCGTCATACTCCATCTCCGCCGGCGGGCCTTTGGGTCGGTACCCGCCGCTCCGCCCCGCGCCCGCGCTCCCGCTCTGCGTCGTCGTACTCCCGCTCGCGACCGCAGGAGCGGGGACCTTGCCTCCATCCAGGACACTCGGACCGCCAACACTAACAACCGGCTCCGCGACACTACTCTTCCCAAGTGACCCGCTCGTGCCAGTACCGCCAAAATGCGGCGGTAACGCACTGCTCGACAACGCACGAGCCATCCCCGGGCGGCGGGGTGGTGGCCCCGGGTATGGTTGTGGTTGCTGCCGTGGTGACGACGGAGCTGTCGCCTGTTGGGGTGGCTGGCGCCTTGGCGCCGGTCGCTGCTGTTGCGGCTGCTGTTGGATTGCGGTCGCTGGCGTAGGGGGGATGAGGGAAAGCTCCGCCCCGCCCGTTGACGGCGGACGCGCGGAGCTCATGTGCAGCCCCAGCCCGCCAAACCCTCCCGGGCGCGAGCGCAGAGACGGCACCCCACCGTTCTGCTGTTGAAGGTGCTGCTGCTGCTGATGGTACTGTTCTGCTATGCCAGACTGTGGCTGTCGCCCGCCGCCAAGCAGAAGGGTGAGCCCGCCGGGGCGCGCGGTCGCGAGCTGGGGAAGGTTCTCGTAGCTGATGCGCGGCGCCTTGGCGAACAGCTCGCGTTGCCGCTGCGCCTCGAGCATTGCACTTGAGAGGCTTGTCGCGCTCATGGTCGCCTTCAACGCGCGAGAGGTGCGCGCGTTCTGCGCGGACGTCGTGTGTTGGTGCTTCGCCGGCGCGGGCCCGTCATGAACGAGCGAGGGGAGGTGCCCAGTAGAACGGTGCGGGCGGTTCGGGAGCTGGCGTAGATCCGTACCGGTAGTTGCAGCCCCGCTAGTACTATGTCCGCGTGAGTGGCCAAGATGCGGGTGCGGCTGTTGCTGCTGGAGCGACGGCGGCGGCGCTTTCGCATTAACGGCCGGGCCACTCTGCTCCACGATCTCGCTGTCTTCATCCTCCCACTCCTCGTCACCTTCTTGCTCCGGCTCCTCCTCCTCCACTACCTCCACGCTCTCCGTGCCTTCTGCGCTGTCGTCCTCCGTCCACCCATCCTCGTCGCCGTCCTCGGTACCATCCTCTTCATCAGTCGTCTGGACCACGACCTTCTGCCGCGCGCTGTTCGCGTTCCGCTCCACCAGCGCCGCCGCAGCTGCGAGGTTGGTCAACGGCAACGGCAGCCCAGACACGCCAAACTGCGGTGCGCTCCCCTCCTTCCCGTGCCCCGTCACCCGCGTCCCGCCTTTGCGTGATCGGGACCGTGAATGTTGACTCCGCATCGCCGTGCGCGCGGGTTGTTTCCCCCTGCGCATGCGGACATGTGACGAAGATGTCGCGAGCGAGCTCACCGAGCGGGAGTCGTCCACGTCCGCCATCGCGGCAGGGGAAGCGGTTTGCCGGCCGTTGACCTGCTCATCCGTGCGCGGGGTCATCTGCAAAACAAGTGGATCAGCATCGACGCATCCAACGGAACAAAGTAGAACTCACCCCCAGTCCCAAACCGATGCCGCCAAGGAACGGTGCTGACACCGCGCGGGGGGGTTTCTGCTGAGGTTGCGGTGGTTGCTGCAGGGGCTTTGTGTGTGGAGGTTGCGGAGCTTGGGGCTGTGACGACTGATCGAGCTTCTCCGGTGACGATTTCTGCTGCTGGGGTTGCTGCTGGGGTGGTGCTTGCGCTTGCCCAACCTCCTCCTCCGATGAACTCCTTCTCCCCCCATTTCTTATCTGCCCCCGTCCTCGCCCACGTGCATTGGCCAGTCCGCGTTCCGGGCCATGCACAAATGAACTCTGGGCTTCGCTGCGCTCGCGCGAACTATCGCTCGAGCTGCTGCTTGCACTTGAGCGCGATCTAGGTCCGTCACCGTCGTTGCTCCCGCTGGACCGCGATGAGCTCCCACTTGCGCCAGCGTGTGCGGCCAAATAAAACTTGCTGCCTGCCCCACGGCCATTCGTTTTGGGTCCTGCGATGTGCCCGTTACCGGATGAAGGAACACTCAGATCATGGCCACCGAGGGGTAGAATGTGTGTCGATTGCGGCGCATATGATACCTGTGATGCCGGCGCGTATGCAGAATCAGCAGGAGGAAACATGGGGGAGCCCATGCCGCGTGTTATAGAGCGGGGCAAATGCAGCGGTCCGGGGGGATCGCGCCTTGTGGATTCCGGAGAGGCTGGTGTTGGGGGCGCGAGGGTCCGCGGGGCCGGAGGTGCGGATGCGGCGAGGAGGGGCGTGGTGGGAGGCGTGGGGTGGGGGGTGAGATTCGGAGTCGGAGTGAGGACAACCACTCTGGGCACCTCGACCTCTGCCTGGACTGCCGGGGGTTCGACGGCGATGCAGACGGCGGAGGAAGAAGCGGAGCCAGAACTGTCGGAGGAGCTGCTGGACGCGGGGGTTGGATAAGCCTCGTTCTTCTTTGTTTCCTTCTGGAACTGGGTGAGCTTCTGGGTGAGTCCTGGAGGGATCATATCGCGGATGATGCGTCCTGCGGGACGTGCAGGGGCCGTCATTGCTGTGTGGATTAATATTGATCAGAGAGAGCCGGAAATTAGCGGGTAAACTTACGCTTTCTGGGGGCGATATTAAAGAAAGGTGTGCATGTGGTTGTACTGATACATTTTGTATCATCGCTGCACACGGACCCCGGTGTCGGGGGCCACGGGCCCGGGGGGAGTTGCCTGCGAAGATCTCGAAATGCCAAACGCCAGGAGATATTTTCGAGACGCTGGCCGTCCTGCAGCGAGTTCTTGGACTTTGAAAAGACTGTGATATATTTAATGAGAAGCTCTTCGGTGAAGAAATCAGCTACGGACCGGACCATAGTTGGAGAGCGTTCTGGGAGTCGAGTGCGTCGTGGGCAACGGCGAGGACAGGGTCTGGGGCGTTCCCCATGTTGCTGTCGGCGTTGCTGGTGGCGGCGTCGAGGTGGTTGGTGGCAA